TACTATAGGGGCTCCTGGCATCGCTACTAGGAACAAGGACGCTCGCTGCTAGGGGCTCCTGGCCTTACTACTAGTAACAAGGACACTAGTAGGATTTTTTGTGATCTTCGATTCATCGTCTCCAAAGCGGCTTCTTCGACTGCCCTCTCGTCCGGAACAAACTGCGCTCACTTGGCCTGACTCTTTGACAGCAGCTGTTGTTGCATCAAGCCAACATCAGCATACCTTGTTCAAACATCAACATACAGCTACGGACAAACAAATCGCACTGGTAGCAAGGACGCTACTAGGTGGAGGCCATCGCAAGTAGGTTGGAGGCCATCGCTACTAGGAACAAGAAACTATACTAGTAGCTAGAAGCTTCATTTCACTGGGAATCGTTTCACCTGTAACAAGAAACTACTAGTAGCTACTTGCTTCTTGTTTCTTGCTCTCTTGCTCCGTCTCACAACGAGTGCACAAGCAACTGTGGCCGCCACACTTCGTTCACAGCCACTATGGTCGAACCCAACGACACCTGATCACACCCGTTGCTGCCGTTGCTGCGCAGGAAAAATACCCCAACGACATGGGCGGTTTCCAAGCCTGCGGCTTTGGCTTTGTGTCTGGACCTCACTTGCACCAATCTCAACATTTGTCAAGTTCAAACAGTGTTCAAAGTTGTGCCAAGCAGCTTCAGACCAGATGTGAGACGACAGATTAGCACCTTTGTTTAGCCCTTTTCCTCTTAAGAACATCTTCCGTCTTATAAAGGTTTTATGCATCTTTCTCAGTGTTTGCTATTCATAGCTCTCCTCTTTGTTCACTGTTCCTCCTTCTGAACAACTCATGACCGGATAAGAAGCAGAAAGGCTATTTTAAACAGTGGCAAACGCATTGAGAGAACTAGTAGTAGCGTTCTTGCTCCTAGTAGCGATGCCCTTTGCTCCTAGTACCGATGCCCTTTGCTCCCAGTAGCTTCTTGCTCCTAGTAGCGATGCCCTTTGCTCCTAGTAGCGTCTTTGCTCCTAGTAGCGATGCCCTTTGCTCCTAGTAGCGT